CAACCAGCTGTAAGCGTCAGTGGAAAAGTTGTACATTGTTCGTTCGGCTTCTTGTTTGCGTTAAACAGCTGTAAGCCAGTCAGTGGAAAACGTGTACTGTTCGTCTGCTTCTTGTTTGCGTTCAACCAGCTGTAAGCGTCAGTGGAAAAAAGTTTGAGTTTTTACTTGTAAGCGCCGTGGGAAAGTTGTCTGCTTCCTTGTTTGCGTTCAACAGCTGTAAGCGTCAGTGGAAAAGTTGTACTTGTTCGTCTGCTTCTTGTTTGCGTTCAACAGCTGTAAGCGTCAGTGGAAAAGTTGTACTTGTTCGTCTGCTTCTTGTTTGCGTTCAACAGCTGTAAGCGTCAGTGGAAAAGTTGTACTTGTTCGTCTGCTTCTTGTTTGCGTTCAACAGCTGTACGCGTCAGTGGAAAAGTTGTACTTGTTCGTCTGCTTCTTGTTTGCGTTCAACAGCTGTAAGCGTCAGTGGAAAAGTTGTACTTGTTCGTCTGCTTCCGAACATTAGTCGTGTTCCAGAACTTGCGTTTTACATGCAGCTCCGTTTAACATATTTGACTTACTTCGGTGCAGACCGATGGTTCCTCGCCTCTCAGGCAGATGCACTCCGTCTTCAAAGCCCATCCATAGACTATCGTGGAGTTGAGAATTAACTTCCAGATAATCGCAATCGTCAGTGCCTGTAATACAAGTATACAAACAAGACCAAATTGACGAGACAATCCCCACCTGCATACAAGGATGGCCAGTCATCTGTTGGATTGCCTCCTCGCAGCTCGGCGAACAGAGGATCCTCAAATCAAGGCCGTCAGCGTTCTGTTGAACCACACTAGTGCTCACGTTCTGGTTAGTTGAAGGGGGGCTGCAGTGAGACAGTATACTCTCTGCCAGAATGTTCTTGAAGGATCGGGCGAAGCCTCCGAAGGAGCATCCTCCCACTAGCCCTAGTTAGATAAACATATATCATGGGAGACCAGTTAAATGCATTCGTAAAGAAATATAAATGTGAAGGACTCCTTTACACAGCTTCAGGCGTTTTGGGTATATGGGTAAAAGTAAAGAAGTAAAGATCCCTTTTCACGCCTTTAGGCGCATCGGGTATATGGGAAAAGCGCCCATATTTTTTCAGACCACCGTCACTAGGTGGGTAATGTGGTCAGCATTACACCGGCTGTCTTTACTTTCCCAGGACAGCCATCCTGGTACCCATTTTAGGTTGGGCCGACCTGCGACGCCCAATACCATGATACAAATCCACGCTGCCAGCAGTGGGTTTCGATCGCGGTACGCTGGAATTACGAGTCGGACTCGCAACGCCTAAGCCACGGACGCCGCTTGGGCATATAGGGCTAGACACATATTTTTTAAACTAATAGGCACTAGTGTGTGATATGGTCAAGACCAAACCGGCCGCCTTTACTTCCCGGACTGCACATGGTACCCACTCAAGGCTGGGTTGACCTCGGAGCCAAGGTCATTTTTGAAGAAAGTCCGGTTCTGCCAGTACCCGAACTTACGATCTTTCGAGCCGCAGGCCAGCGTCTAGCCGCTAGACCACGGCGTCTCCTGAATACAAATGTAGTACTAGCAATTTAAACAACAATATCCTGTTCAACCCTCCCAACTGCCAGTTAGTCGACTATTACGACATGCTGGCTTAGGAGGCAATGGGTCTATTCTTGTTATCCTTACAATAGGGCCCCACCCCCACAGGGGCAGCCTTGAGGATTCGAACACAATACTTCGGAGCCGACAGCCAAGGGCAATCATTGGCCACAAAAATACCATGACAAAAGCTTTAAAGGCCACTGTAAGCGAATCTGGAAAAGTACATTTGTCGATCGGTTGATCAGTTTGTTCAAACCCCCCCCCCCCCACCCCTTGCCCAAGCCGCCACTTAAAGGTTTAGCATACCATCCTGATACTTAAACAAACACACTTCAATCTGGACGGCAGACCAACAAGGTAGATCCAAAATCTCCAAAGAACTTATAATTATGGCACCCGTCACGACTACTCCAGCCAGGTGTAACCTGTAGTTTTATGCAGGAAAGGACGAAAGTACTTCTAGGGACCATAGATATATTTGGCCTTGCCAATCTCCTCTGCAGAGATTTCAATAGTGCAGCTGCTAGAACTCTTACTTTTCGATGCAGTGGTAATATGTTCAAATCGTCAGAGGGGATTCTAAATAAAGGACATCTACTAGATCTACCTCCATGTGATGAACAGATGTCGTAAACGTCAAACTGAATACACTGGTCAAAGTCTGGTACACGTGGGAAGTATGTGATGAAGGCATAGCACATCTCTCCCT